GACTCACCTCTCCCCCTTCAGTCTTGACAGTGACTTTTCCCGATTCCCTGCTCGTGATTGTCCCTTTCACAAAGGATTCTTTGGGATGAACCACAAAGACTGATGACTTGGCATCAAAAGGTTTGTTCTGGGCTGCAATTCTCTCCTTCTCTGATTTTCGGAGGTAAGGAGCTGCCTCCCCAAAAACAGCCATCTCAGCATCGCCAGAGGCCATGGCTGCCCTTTACTGAGGATATCTCAGCGGATGACTCTGAGGAGAAAAAATATGGTACTGATTACTTCTTCTGTAAGATTTGGGGAAATTTTCATCCTGTGCCTTGGTGTCTCTTCATTCTCAGGGTACTTTAACATGAGATAACTAGAAACTTAATTTTATGTCAAAACAAGAGGCTTTCATGGATGCAGTCTAGGTCTTCCAACATTCATTGATGACCTTTTCAGAACTGTGGATTTAGTGCTTTAAGAATACTGTGCCTGTAAGACAAGAGTGAATTTGTTGAACAAGTTTCACTAAGACATCCCTATTAGGAATGGAAATAGAAGAAATTGTAAAAAGGATGAACAGTGAAATAAAACTACTGAAAAACTGTAGTATAGGTGACCTACAGTTTTGGAAAACAATGAATCTGTAAGACAGTTACCTATTTAATGGTAGGGTAAGTAATAATTTGCAAATGAAGTTCTCCACTGGAAAAAAAAATACAAAACAAAGAGAGCAGACTTTGTGACCTTTTAATATTCTGCCACAATTAAATTGCTCTATGCATTTGTCACACTTCACTACAATACTTAAATAATTTAAGCCCCAAAATTCTGACTTAGGTGAAATAAAATTCAGTCATTGAAAGTGGAATTTCTAAGGCTTTATTAATATCTCAAACAAATACTTACTGAAAAAATCTAGGAACATGAGAATTCTCAAAACTTTTGATTTATTAAACATCTAGGGTACCTAAATTTAGCCAACTGCACTTGAAAATCCTCTAGCTACAATAAAAATTTATTCCCTCTTTATTCTTTAGGTAATAAATATATTTTTTGTCTGGAGTAAGAAAATGGATATTTAATAAAGCTGAGAACTCTGGCACTCTACAAAGGTGGTTAGAAGGTCTGTATGTTAGATAATTTAATAATTAATATATTCTTAAGCAGAATACAAGATTTTGCATTTTTTCCCTGCTGTGCTTATCTGGTCCCATCCTCTTCCTGCCATAGCAAAGATGGGAAGGCAGCACTCCTTGATTTATGTAAGGTCAGTTAAGCAGAAGCGATGAATGTCCCCATGGGGATTTTCTGCTCTTTCATCAGTACTCAGAGGCTTCAAACACAGCCTTGGGCACCCTCATCACTTTTTACTCCAATCCCACCAGGTTTGCATATAGGGCAAACCAGTAAAACCTCCTGACACCCCACCCAAAAGGATCTGTCTCTGTTCCTATAAATTGGTAAATCAGCTTCTTACCTCTCGTGACACCAGATGTGTGGCTTGTGAGCTGGCAGCTGATCAGTGCTGTAAAACAGAAATGACAATTCCCAAATTGCTGTTGCACAAAAATCAAGACTGAAAACATGCAGGTAGGTGCCTTGAAAACAGATTTGTAATGGAGTCCCCTCCTGCACAGGAGCACCAGAGGCAGCAGGAATGTGGGGGCACATTAGGCTGCCATCCCCTTCCTGGCAGCCTGCAGACCCCATCCCTTACCTTGGAGCTTTCTGTGGAGCCAGGGCAGACGTGTTGCAGGGACATTTTATACGATCTCGCCTGCAGATGCTCCAGATGCCTCCTCTTTCTTCGGTCAAAAATATTTTGGCAAACCCTCTTTGGTGAAGCATTGTCTGGCAAACTGAACTAAGGGCATAATTGTCATTTGACATGACTAGATATAATTAGAAAATTTTGATGTCTTAGTGGCTATATGAATACATCTTCTATAAACAATCTTCCAAGGGTGTTAAGGAGGGAATCTGGACTAGTTGAAGCACTTAAAGAACTTGGATTCAGGACTTATGGATTTTATTGCTGCCTTTCCCACCGACTCACTGCACAACCTGGGATGGATTGCTTGGTATGTCTCTGCTGCAGCTACCCCAGCTGTACAATAGATAAAACAGGATGTTAAAAGATAAATTAATGTTATTAAAACTTTTTGACAGTTTTGTTTGTTTAACCCTGAAAGAAAAAAAGAGTGCAGGGAAAAAGATGTAGAAGATGTGGAAGAGGTGGAGGGTGACAGGCACAGCAGGGTGGAGAGCCAAACACTGCAGCAGGGAGAGGCTGGGCTCTACCTGGGCTTTTGATATTGATGGCTCTGACAGATGTGAGGCAGCTTTAGGGGTATCAGGAAGAGTGGGCACACACACACACACACACACACACACACACACACGCACACTGTGCCTGTGTGCCTCTCTGCACACACTCCAGATTGGAAATAAGTGGAAGATCCTCTAAAAATTGTTTTTGTGCACCCTGTGATGGGTTATACCTGCTGAAACTCCTGGTCTGTGGGCTAGTGCCAATGAGCAAGACGCTCCCTGCTTTTGCTGGCAAATTAACTTAACCCTAGAAAGAATAACTGATTTGAAATGCCTTCCAAGTGAAACCAGCACACCTACTTACAAATGGCAGGAAAATCCTCTTTTCAGTAATACCTACACAAATAATTGGATGTATGCACAAACACATCATGTCAGCATGCAGTCCCAGATGCTCTCTACATGGTACATCCTCAGTCGGGCACTTCCAGTTCATTACAAATCTCTTGCACACTTAATCCAAAACACCACGGGTACACCAGAGCTCTGGGGGTGGCAGACATGCCTGGACAATGCTGATGGAGGGGGAGGGGGAGGAGGGAAGGAAGGGGATTTACTGGTGGTACTGGAGAGAGACTGGTCTTGTTTTAGAGACAGAGCACAGTCATGTGAGTTGATTTATATCCTGGCAGATTTAGGCTGAGGTACTTAACACCTTCTTTGCCTCAGTCATCAACAGGAGGAGTGGTTATCCTCAGGGCAACCAGCCCCTTTAGCTGTTAGTCAGGTAGAGGAGCAGAATGGATTCCCTGCAACCCAGGAGGAATTAGTCAGCAACCTCCTGATTTTAGACACCCACAAATCTGTGAGGCCAGACAGAATTCACCTGAGGCCACTGAGGGAACTGTGGGAAGAATTTGCCCAGCCACTCTCAATCATTTATCATCAGTCCTGGCTAACCAGGACTTTTCCTATAACCAGGTGTGAGAGACTGGAAAGATTGATGTCCTGAGACATTTTGGGATGCATGAGGATATGTCACAAGATGACTCTGAGAAGAAAAAATATGGGAAAAATAAAAATGGGAAAACTATGGGAAAGGCAGGCCAGGCCCTGTAAGTGAGGCAGTACACTTCCCCATGCTCCATCCCACCTAGAGCCATGATTCTGTGATATTTTAGCTGAGAGTGCTGGGCTAGATCACCTGACTTTGGGGACATTGCTTTCCAGTGGCCAACAACAAAGTCATTCTTCCCAGAGAGCTCTTTGGGTTTTTGCTGTTGTGCTGTGCAGGATGTGGCCCCAGCTGTGCAAGAGGCAGGAGTGAGGCACACAGCCAGCCAGCTCTGGGCAGGCAGCCGAGGGAAGGTCTGGTTTGAATGGGAAGCAGTCAGTGAGTTGAGATGTCTCCAAGTATTGACACTCACCAGTGATTTGGGGATTGAATTTAGTGTCAGTAGGTCCCCATGGACCAGTGGTAGAACATAAAACCTTATTTGAAAACGGTCCAAATCTCAGAAGAGGGTTGTGAAGTAGAACACAGCAATGAAAGAGATTCTTTCATCCAGATGGCTTTTGAATATCTCCAAAGACTGAGATTTCACAATAGCTCTGGGAAACTTGTGCCAGTGCTCAGTCACCCTTCCAGGAAAAAAGTATTCCCAGATTTTCACAGAGGAAAATCTGTGTGCCAGATTGTGCTCATTGCTTCTTGTCTTGTCAGTGAGCAACAATAAAAAGGACCTGGTTCCATCCTCTGTGCACCTCCAGGTATTTATATCCATGGATACATTCACCCGATCATTCTCTTCTCCAGGCTGAACAGTCTCTGCTCTTTCAGTCTTCCCTTATGAAATGCTCCAGTCTCTCATTCATGTGACTGGTCCTTTTCTGGACCCTCTCCAGTAGCTCTGTATCTCTCTTATACTGGTGAGCTCAGCACTGGACATCACTCCACATGTGGCCTCAGTGCTGAGTTAAAGGCAGGGATCACCTCCCTCTGCAGCACTCCTAATGCAGACACCATTCACCTTCTTCATATAAATGACACATTGTGGGCTCATGTTCAACTTGCTGTCCCCCAGAACCCCCAGGTTCTTTATGTGCAAAGCTGTTTTTCACCTGGTCAGCACCCAGCATTTACTGGTGCCTGGGCTTGCTCCTCTCCACATTCAGGGGTTTGCACTTGCTGTGTGTCATTGGGTCCCAGGTTCACCTCAGGGTTTTGCCTCACCAGTACTCAGCTGCACACTATCCTTAACACAGAAAACACAATGTTAAATGGCAATTGTAGAATCACAGAGATTCAAACCTTACTACCATGTTTATATTGCTGATTAAGTTATAAAAAAAATAATAAAATGTCAACTACTTTCATTTGAAAGCTGTAAATTCATACCCATTTCCTTTTTTCCTCTTTTGCATTAATGAAATAAGAACACAGAAAACAAGAACTTCTCTTTCAGTGTTTTGAGTTGTTGTTTTTTAATATCTTTTTTGAAGGAAAATAGGGCTAAAGCAATGGCAGATGTAAGAGCATGCATTGTGTATGCAGGTAGTGTATGAACTCTCAATGTCTACAGGGGAAGGACACTACATTTGTGGAGGCTGGAAGAGGACACAGGAGCAAGTGCAAAAAAAAGGTTGGGCAAATAACCCAGCATTCCCTGTTGTAGTGTATGACATAAAGCTCATGGAAAGTGAAGTGTTTGGTCAGCTGTCATAAGGATCCCTGAAAAGCAGTCTAAGCTACTGAGCATCTGCTTTGGATTTAGTTTAATTTATAAAGCTCTTCTCTTTCACCAAGTACCATTTATATGACACTGGTATAGTGGTTTCTTACGAAGAAGTAGTCTCTAACCTGAAATGGATGATTCAGATTTCACTGTAGTTTCACTCTCTAGGTCCCAAAAAATTACTTCAGGGGAAACTTTGCCATGTGTCCTCTATCCAGGTACA